GATACTTTTTAAACAGACCTCGTATATGAGCATCAACTAGATAATTATATTTTTATTAAGGCAAACTTCCATACCACCATTGAGGTATTGCTAAGGTGCGTTACATGTAAGTAAATTTGAACTAAAAATTTGGTACCACACATTTACAGACAACAGTTCCTGAATGGTGATTGTTGTGAGAATTGAAAATTTCGTCCCGTTAACTAAATTGGCCCATTAACAACACTCTAATATGGAAACAATTAGATTAGGCTTTGTCACTTGTCATTCGAAACCACTAGCACAAATCCAATCGCAGCTGAAAATCAGGTTCAAGTAACATATGCACTCGCTGCAAACGATAAGGACGCAGCAACCGGTCCTTTATTTACCACACTGTCACATGAGAGGGGTGAATGTTCTGAGCTATTTCGCGTAACTTATTTTGGAGTTTGCCTTCTGTGAATTCAAGGATTTTGTCCTTACACCGTAGATATAACTCAAACCCGTAAATACGAGGGCGGTTCAATAAGTACCCGTGTTTGAAGACAGAGGACGTTCCTGAGAGAAGTTGGTATTATCATCGTGTGCTGTCATCTATCAAACGACGCCAAAACAAAATTCAGTCTGATTGATAGGATAGTTTGGATATGGCAGCCATTTCAGTGAGACGTGTACCGTGATTTTCCCTAATATGGAAATCGTTCGGTAACTCGCTTTTCATTTTTGGATGGGAAAAAATGTGAGGAGATAAAAGCAAAATTGGATGTTGTTTAGAGGGACACTTCGCCATCTATGACCACAGTTAGATATTGGTTCAACGAATTTAAACGTGGGCGAAAATCCGTTTTTGATGAGGAGGGACCAGGACGCCTGGCAGGAACGAAAGTGCGCGAAGTAGCAAAGGCTGTAGGTGTGTCGACCGGAACGGCAATTAATATTTTACATGATAAGTTGACGATGAAAAAATTGTCGGCGCGATGGGTGCCTCGATTACTCATGGTGGACAACAAGCGTATGCATCTGTTAACTTCGAAGCAGTGTTTGGAGCAATTAAGAAAAAGGAAGAACGATCACTGGACAACACTCCGGTGAGTTATTGGACCACTTCGACAAAAAATTGAAGGAGACTCGGATGCATTTGGCTAAAAAGAAGGTGCTTTTTCACCACGATAACGCACCAGCACATTCATCCGGAGTTGATGCCGCCAAACTGCATGAATTGCGTGATGAATTGCTGCCGCAAACCCCGTACTCACCCGATCTGGCTCCCTGCGACTTCTTGTTCCCTAAGAGTCATTGCCGAGACAGGGGCGTATTTTATATAGTTCGACAAATCCTAGTTTTTGGAGGGGATAAAAAGTGACAGGAACCTTGGGAGAAGTATACCTTTCTAACTAACCGCCCTCGTACATTTCATATTACATTATTATAGCAACAACTGTTCTACAATGACTGACTTGCACCAATGATTGCTGCTGCATTGAATTGCTGAATTAATTTAATGAACTGCAGATCGATTACCTGGTTTAAACGCTATAAGAATAAACGGCTATAAGAGTTTTGGCTGTTAAAATAAATAACCTAAATCACAGTTAATCTAATTCAGCCAATAAACAATAAGTACATGAGCAAAAAATACAAAACAAATACTAGACTAATGCTGCTGAAATCCCAGATGATTGAGTGGAGCGTTGCATGCTGTATTTCTCTAGCAGGGCTGGAATTGAATTTGCCAGTACTCTCAACTACTGAATTTTCATAAATATTCCAAATTTTATCGCAGCGAAAAGTGAGTAAAATGGGTGACCCTGAGCAAAATCTTTTTGTTACTATTTCTTAAAAAAGTATTGAATTTTTTAGACATAACTAATAAAGATTGTATATGCTACGATCTATTTGCGCTTTTCGAATTTTATGTTTCGGGGAAATATGTAAGTGTAGTCGAGCACAAAATAATAAATTGCGAATTTTTCTCACACAAAAGTCTTCCTTTTCACTAACGTTTAATGCTCAAGAAACTAATCGTCTAGCACTTGGTTCCAACATTTTCAGGTCATAACTTGCCGTTAGAGAACATAGACAAATCGCAGGTCTTTGCGCAAAGGGCCGACGGCTTTAAAAATAATAGTGGCTATATAAGAGTACAGGAAAATTAATAGCTCATCTACCTCTCACGCTCCGTTCCATATTGTCCAAGGCAAAGAGTAGCCGGTCATTGCTTTCAAGTAATTTTTTTATATAAACGGTTTATGTACAAGTTCGTTGTAAAAGGAACAGAATAATACAAGATATCCGGATGTAAGTACCTAAGTAGTTGCGGCGATTTTTTTCTGTATTTCTGAAAAATCTTTCTGTATTAGGTATCGAACGGAACCTAGAAAAATTGGAGCTGAACGATATCAGGATTATTTTTATAGCACTGATTAATTTCGCCTTCAAAAATTACATGGTTGGAGTAATAAGCTCGATTCAAATTAAAAGTCAGGCCACCGTGAGATCATAGTGAAGTAAAATAATGTTATACTTCGTTTACTTTCTGTAGCGATGTGACCTTCAGTTTGACCGGCGCAAAGTAGAAAAGAACAGCACTAGACCACAAAAGGAAGGAGACAACTCTCTTAACCGGTGAGGAGCGTATAATCCCTACAGTACTGCACGGAAACATTGACCATTTTATATACTACAATTGCATTGCTCAAATGTACTGTTATTGGTACCATTTACTACTGAAAATATCAACGAGATGTTTATTTATATTTGAAGACATATTAAAGGCTTTAACGTTTGTTTTCGACTCGCACTACTATTCATGATTGAACAAAACTTTTGGCAGGTACTGTATGAAAAAGTATGTTTAATGAACAAGAGTCGAGAGTATAATGAGCTTTTTTCTCCCTACCTACGATTTTGCCTGCGCGCATCCAAGAAAGACATTGGAAGTTGTACATCGCTACAGAAAGAAAGTGAAGTATACATACATTTTATACGCCAGTATTTATATGGCACGGTAAGGTCATCGTCCTACCGAGCGGAATGGCCTAGAGGTCTAGACCATTGCTTAGCATTCGGGCATTCGGGAGGATGCCGGTTCTATTCCGGGTCCGTCTGCCTTGGTCCAAGTTTTTCTGTGGTTTCTTTGGATCACTTAGGCAAATGCTGAGGCAGTAATATTCCACAGGTAATCTTTCACTCTCTACTGTCTTCATTTCGTCCGTCTCATGTTTCTCACCCGAACTACCACCCACCCATTCCCACGATTCCTGAAAGCAAGTGAAGAGGGCCTTCCGCCCTACCTTCCGACAAAGTCCGGAGGGACTGCCCGCCCACCAGCATCACTGGCTGGTGGGAATGAAACACCCAAAAGTTTTTTAAAAAGTTTTTGTCATCGTCCAGTCAATTTGTGTTTCTCTTCAACGATATTTTGACTTAATTGTGACTGGACTCTGACTTGACCGATAATGTGAATCGGCCTTTAGTATGAAGCCTCGGGGAGTTATAAGCCATACGGACATGAGTGTTGGAGTTCTAGTGTATACTTACCATTAACTGGTAGACATTCAGCTGTTTCAATGTAGGTATTAGACATTAAACCCTACTTTGAGGAAAAATTTTCTAAATATCGACCCTGTTCGGCTGGGTTTAGCCTTGCAAGAGCTCGTATCAGGCACATCTTCCTGCTAACTATTAGTAGTGCAGAATAAAACAGTACCACCAAAACTAATTAGCGGTGCTATTTGCTATTGAGATAGTAACGCATAGACGTTTAATTTGTTTTGAATTTTGTTGAACTTACATCTACTTACACTATGTACATCGAACCCGTTTGTATGAAATTATCTTAGCTGTCTACATTATGTGATGATGAGGTGGAATGTTCTTGTTTTCGAAACTGAAGAGGCCCATGAATATACGACGCTACGCTACTATTGAGGAAATAAGGACGCCATTGAAGGAGGAGCTGAACAAGATCACAAGAAATAAATTTTTGAAGTGCTTCGAAGATTGGAAAAAACATTGGCACAAGTGTATAATATCTGATGGAGATTACTTTGAAGGGGACAAAATAGATATTCATGAATAAATAAATAATTTTTCAAAAAACACTAAATTCGCTATACTTTTTGAATAGACCTCGTATAACGGAAAATTCCAGCACTTAAGGCAATTATTGTGTCAGTAAATATCTGTGTTTAGAAGAATTATTTGAAAAAAAAACTTATCAGACCAAGACCGGGACTATAGCAACAAGACCAACACGACAACAAGTGTTTGGGTAATACCAAGACCAAGGCTGTGTATGTGTTTGGTGAATGGTATTAAAGGCGATATTTCATTTCCTAATAAGTAGTTGGCGGAAAAAGTACTACATCGACCCACTGCAACTGCACTTAATTGAAACAAATTAATTGTAAAATAGTCAACAACAAAGAAAGGAAACAACTACCGTAGTCCGCTTGTTCAACAAAAATAACAAAAAAGGCAACAATGAAGAATAGAGAAAAGAGAAACAGAAAATAACGAAAAGCAGAAACGTAATTGATTCGTTTTTTGTTGCAGCTAGAGTAGAGGCAGGTGGGTAGGTAGCTAGCTAGTCACCTGTGATTTCGTGTTGGCTCGGCTCTTTTGAAGGTTATAAATCTCTTTATTACACCCGTAAAATTAATGTGAATTATTCTTATCACACGTTACGGGTTACGTTTCATTCGTACTGGTGGAGCTAGACAAAAAAACTGCTGCGGCAGCGCAATTCTATCACGGCTTTGTTTGAATTGCGGCTTCTTTTATGGGACGAGTGTATAAAACGCGCTTCATTCAAATTTTGCTTCGGGCACATTAAATGCTCGTTCGCAACTGCGGAAATGAGCTAAAAATTTGTTCTCTTTGCGAGTGACCGTCCATCAAAAGAACTCGGTGTTATTTTCGACGCTATAGCTGTTGCCGCTTAAACTTGAGCAAATAATGTCAAATACAAAAGCTATACCGTGTATGTATAAAAAAATTAAATTCCTAAAGCTTACCAATTACGGAGAGATACATCGAGTGTCCAATAGGTGGTGTTGTACTGACTTGACATTCGTATATTCCCGAATCTCTCCTTTGGGTGTAGCGTACCTGAAGCGTCCAATCGTCAGAATGATGGTTGTGGATGCTGACAAAACGTTGGTCAGATGTGTACGTGGAACGACCAACGGTTAAAAGATGCAAATCGCGATGCCTTATCCACGAAACCTGTAACAAAAAAGAATAACCCATGTATCACTATCATAAAGCGATAAAATGCATTTTTTAAGGCTATCTGCGAAACTCGTCATCATCATCAAAAGCTCGTCAGTCCTAAGACTGATTACACACGCACCTTCATTCTTTCCTATCCTGAGCTAATTTTCGCATTTCGCTAAAACTAAAACAACCTACATCCTTAACTATTATCCATAGAGTCCTCCGTTCTCCTACTCTTTCTAATACCTCTTCATTTCTAACCTTCTCTATTCACGGTATCCTCATCATTTGCCTGCATTACCATATTTCGAACACTTGTAACTTATTCTTTTCCGCCGAGCCCACTGTCCATGTTTCGCACCCGTACAACGCCGTGTTTTTATTGAAGGTGACTCGACCTGCGCTGTCCTCTGCTTTATATCCCTACTACTCCTTCCGTCCTGCCTTATCTGACTTCCTAGATACCTAAAATCGGCCACTTCTAATTTTTCGTCTCCTATCTTAATATTCGCTTTTTCTCTACTTTTCCTTCCCTTGCATACCAGAGTTTTTGTTTTACTTTTATTTATTTTCATGCAGTATTATTTTGTCAATACCGCTTCCATTTTATTTAAAGCTATCTCTAACTCCTTCTTGCTAGATGCTAATACTGCTATATCATCTGCAAATCTAAGCAGCATATTTATCCCTACAGTTGTACTGTCTTTAATGATGTTGATCACGTCTTCGATGTATAGATCAAGCAGTAGGGATGACAGTGTGCATCCCTGTCTAACTCCCTTCCAAATATTTACCTCTACGTTGCAATGCCATTTCTATAACTGCCTGTTGCTCTTTAACTGGTAAATAAAATTTTCAAATTTCATTTTTTTTTTGTAAAGTCACATATTAACAAGTGTTTTAGGATTACATAATCACCCTGTAACCAATGGAGACTGGTGCATAAAAATGCAGATCAAATAAATTCAATATAGATCAAGCAACTGCTAAAATTTTTGTAAACATAATGACATCAATTTTCCCATTAATGATATGTAAAGGCAGAGTAAGAAAATTATGTCTTTTACTTTGCTTATACATGCTCGTCGTTTTGTAATTTACTTGAAAGTTCTTGTAAAACTTTCAAATAATTTTCTTCGTTATTTACAAATAACAGACTAAGAAAGTAGACAGCGAGCCTTAAAATTATTATTGGAATAATTGCTTCGGGTATTTTCAATATAATTTGGGAGAGCAATTTCTGGGATCTTTCAGATCTGAAATATTTTAATTTACAAAAGTTTTAGCGATCGAGATTTTAAAGGATAAAATTTAAAGCTATCCTTCAAGTCACGTTATCGCTACACAAAGTTTAATTAAAATTAGGAGTTTGTATATGATGATGGAAAATAATGTAGGTATTTTACTTTGACTTATATACTAGAGTAAAACCTGAAATTAACTTGTCAAACTTTCCTGTGCATGTATGTATGTCTGTATGTATGTATGTATGTAGTTATAAACAATCAGTAATCCGTTTATGCAATGGAACTTGAAGCGGATTAAAGACGATGTTGTCAATGGGGGAATCACATAAACAGACCCAAGCAAGCAAGCAAGCAGCTGAACAGAAAGAATTAAACGTTGTAGAGACGAAGTTGCTACTTGCCCTCATTACCCAGGAAAAACAGTCACTTAAACATTTAACTTTCAAATAATTGCAAAAAATTTCTAATGTATCATTCTTTTCTGTCAGTTGCTCTCTACTTTCAACACTTCGACATTAAAAAGTTCAATTCGAAAATAACTAAAAGCAATTTCTAATCGCATTAATCAGTAACTTCTGAAAGGAAACTTTAAATTATTAATTAGGTAATTTATTATTGTACGTAATGCATGTAAAATTTAAATAGTTTATATAGTAGTAATTAGCATCTAGCAAGGAGGACCTAGAGATAGCTTTAAATAAAATGGAAGCGGTACTGACAGATCAGTACTGTATGAAAACAAATAAAAGTAAAACTAAAATACTAGGATGCAAGGGAAGAAAAAGTAGAGAAAGAGCGAATATAAAGATAGGATACAAAAAATTAGAAGAAGTGGCTGATTTTAGATATCTAGGAAGTCAGATAGTCAGGAGTATTAGGGATATAAAGCAGAGGATAGCGCAGGGTCGTGTCGCCTTTAATAAAAAGAAGTCACTTCTATGCTCTCGAACGGTTAATTTAGAAATTCGAGTACGGGATTGAATTTGTCTGATTTGGTTCCTGGGGTATCATTTTCTTGAATTTCTTCTTGGACTTTACTTATATATCTTTCTGAACCTAGCCTGCTAGTTGCTGAATTGCTCTCTCAGACGGATGATAATGTAGCATACTTTTCTATTCTACGAGACAGATAACACACGAACCATCTCTTCCGCAAAGTTACTGATGCATCTCTGCCAATTTTATAGGAGAGCCGTACGAGAGCACAGGTAATTTTCGCTAAATACAACGCAAATCTGACAACTCCGCCAATTTCATTATAACCTCAACAATTCCCACGACCACCTTGATCTTAAAACACCCACAAAAATCGCAAATAAATATGAAATATTTCAACTTGTTTACATGGCTCAATTTATTTTTAGGTCGTCTCAAACCGATCTTTGTGCATAATTTACCCTTTATATGCTTTAACGCCAAAATCTTTAGCCTACGATGCAATACGTGTACACTACTGCCATTGATTAACAGCAACGTTGCCAAGCTCAACTATTGTCGCGAGACTAAAATGTTCGAATTCACCCGGTGCACCATTTCTCTCGGAATTACTCTACGTAACATGCACGATAGCATACAATTGGATATCAAGATTGTTACATATCACTGTACTAAACAAAATTTTGAAGAAAAAGCAAACCTAATTTAACGCAACCCTAGTATAACCACTATGTTTGTTTAAGATTGGATTAGGTTATGTTAGTTCATTTTTTGAAAAGTTTGTTTAGTAAAAATACATGATACATAACAGTTTCAATATCCTATTGAATGTTATCACATAATGTGTCTCGGCGGAAGTCGAAAGGATATCATGATACATATGAATATATGCGTCAGTTAAAAGATGCCGGTTTCAGAGAACAGCGTGCGAATTTAGAGAATCCAATTGTTCGAGCAATTGGGACATGAGGATGCAAGCTATGATAGCTTCTGAATGCATAGTTTTAGGAAGCGATAGATTGAGGATGGATTCACCGATGAGGCACACTTCCCGTACCGCATTGGCAATTTTTTGGAAAATGTAGCATTTGTTTTTAGAACGCGACATTCAGATGAAAGGGCTTCAGTATAGCTGCTATGTATATAGAAGTGGGCTCGTCGTAAGAATGAAAAGCAGATGGCGTATATATTTTCGGAATGTAATTCTCGTTTGGTTGACTGACTGGCACCTGCCCGCGTCACGTACCGCGGAGGACAATTTACCATTGCATTTGTAATCGCTGATAACATCTATCTTCTTGTCATCGAAATTGAAAGATGAGAACTTTCTTCCTCCTTTGTTGAGAATTGCAATATGTTTTCTCGATGTTGAACATTAGCTTATTCCTATCGCGGTAGAAGGCAAGGGAAAAAAGTTTTTTAGTGCGTTAAGGACTCTGTCGCCAAGAAAGGCAATGTCATTGCGCATAGATAAATCTGGACTTCATTAGGTGGGTCTATGCTAAGGCCTCTGCAGTCATCGTCCATATAATATTGTTTCAAATCAACTACGTCCAGTGCAAGGATATAGGATTCGAAGACCTCGCCTAGGCGGTTTCCTTTTGAGACCAGCACAAGTGGTAGTGGTGTCGATGTTTGTTTTAACCGGTATGGATGTGCGGCTCTATAAGGTCCTTAGAATCATTTGGATCAGGACCGAGCGGCATAGTCTAGAGGTTTGGTTCATTGCTTAGCATTTGGGAGGACGCCGGTTCAATTCCTGGTCCAAGTTTCTCTGTGGTTTCTTTGGATCACTTAGGCAAATGCTGGAGCAGTAATATTCCCCAGATAATCTTCATTATTTCATCCGTCTTGTTTCTCTTACCCGAACCACCACCCATCCATTCCCAGAATTCCTGAAAGGAGGCTTAAGGGGGCCTTCCGTGCTACCTTCAAGCGTTGTCCCGAGAGACTCTCCGCCCACAAGCATTAGTGGCTGGTGGGAATGAAACACCTAAAATTTTTTTTTTGGAACAGCAAATGCAAAATAAGGATGTTGTCAATGCTCAGGATATTGATACCTATCATATTTCTATCTCAACAAATTGGGGGAAGTTACGGTATTCTTGACTATTCTTATATTTAGTCTAGGAATTTTATTAAGAGGCCTCTTGTCAAATTTTAGACTCATTTAAAGCCGCCTTATCGCATGTTTAAGGCGCAATGTATGACTAACCATGTAGATACATACTATCAGTTATTTAGTTATCTTCGTGATTTGTGGAATATTTACCTTTAACTTACTCATTAAAAGAAACACGCAAACCGAATAAGCTGGGATGCGCCCTGGTCGATTCTATAAACTGTTGACTAGGAAGTTAAGGTTTTTTACTTTATATATGAAACAATGACATTTTCACAGAGGTTAATATAAAAAATTAATGTGNTTATGATGAATATAATATGAACTATTAATATGAAAATTCGTTTTCAGTTTTTTACCCACTAAAATCTACCTCAGGATAATTAGGGAAAGAAAATTTGTTGCTGTTGTCACACCCTCGCCGGGAATCGAACCCGGGACCTTTGGCTTTACGTACCAATGCTCTGACTACTAAGCTACGAGAGGTGACAACAGCAACAACGACAAACCGTACTTATTAGGTCACAGATCTGTCGAACTAATCTAATTATATAATACTATATATATGAAATACTTTGACATTTTAATAGTGATTACTATGAAATGTTAATGTGAAAATTCATTTTTTGTTTTTATCCACTATAGACTACTTCAGGTTAATAAGGTAAAATTGTCATCTCTCGTAGTTTAGTGGTAAGAGCATT